TTACTAAATGTAGATTGCCCTGTGCTCTGTGTCATTATGTCGAGACTTTAGTAGGTTCTCAACCGTTTGTATATAGTTTGCAGTATTTCTTCAGTTTGGGGCATCCCTAATCCCTATCCAAGTTCTATTAAAAAATAAAACAAAATAAAAAATCAAAACCCCCTAGACTCCCTAGTGTTCTGGTGCCATTTAGTGTGTGTGGGAATTTCCTGTTGCCAGGCAGCAAGTGTTGTGTGGGGGGAAAAGGCCCAAAATCCAGAGACCCTTTCAAGGGTAGAGGGAGATTATGATAGACTTAAAGTTGTTGTAAAGGCTCAATGTTTTTTATCTTAATGCATAACCTCTTCTGTGCAGCAGCCCACCCTAATACTCACCTAAGCCCCTTCTTGATCCAGTGATGTGCACTGGAGTGTCAGCTATCCTGGGACTCCATCTCCTCATTGGCTGAGACAGAAGTGGGAGCCATTGGCTCCCACTGCTGTCAATCACAGCCAGTGAGTCAATGAGCAGAGAAGCTTGGGAACGCTCCTGCTCAAGTGCCCCCATAGCAAGCTACTTGCTTTGGAGGTACCCAACACAAGGGAGGGTCCTGGAGTGTCGTGGGGGACCCGAGAAGAGGAGGATCTGGGCTGCTCTGTGCAAAACCACTGCACAAAACAGGTAAGTATAACATATTTATTTATTTATTTTAATTTAAGCCTTTAGTATCACTTTAACAAGTTAAAGCTAAACTCTAGTGCATCAAAGGCCTAATACACAATGAGAGAAAAATCCACAAAGGTCAGTATCATGATGTAACCAAAAATGGTATTAACCGATAAATACACACGTAGCTAGACACTTGTGTAGTAGAAGAGGAAGTGTAGGGTTGTTTGCTTCTGAACATGAGTGTTTTTTTTCTGTCTCATTATTTTCATGTGATTATTGTACATATTGAGCAAAAATGGGATGCGGTGTTCATGTATAATAAAAATTTTCTAGCTTTTCGGCCGATCATTCCTTGTATGGACATGTTCATACGAATTTCTTATTGTGTATATGGGCCTTTACACTACCCTTCCACAGACTGACAATGCTTCTGCCCAAAGGTGTCTCTGTTGTTCCACCAGTGGAGCAGTGGAGTGGAGAAACCGTAAGACAGGAAGTGTGTTACTGGCAGGATCACTAAGTGAAATAAAGGAAAATATCCTAAAAAGAAAACTAATGCAATCACCAAATTTAAGAAGTGTAGGCTACAATGTATTTGATTTTTGTTTTTGGGTTTACAACCATTTTAACCACTTCCCGTCCAGTGACATACCAATACATTGCTGGATTGGAAGCAGCTGCTGTAAAGATGGAGATATCATTTTTTTAGGGCTGGCGATTCCCTTGAATGTAAAAGTAATCCTAGTGGCTAATAAGAAGTTGGATTAGTTTTTCAGGCAGTGGGAGGGGGGTGAAAATGGGGAGCCTGGTTAGGATGCGACCAGTGGCATCCAGTTTCTGGGACACAGTGAGGAGAACTGATGTTGTTCATCCCATTGTTTAATGTCAGAAACCAGAAGCGACAAGGATTTCAGCACTACTGTTTTTTTTTTTTCCATAATAAATTTTTATTTGGTTTTACAAATATAGTTCCAACAGAAAAAAAACAAAAATAGGAGAGTGAAAAGCTACACAATATCACAGTATAAGTGCTGCGTTAAAGATTAACAAAGAGAAAAAAGGAAATATTGAATAATTCCTATCAATCCTACTAGTTCCAAGAAAGAATCATTTTTGAGTATCCAAAAAAAGTTTAAACATAATAATATCTTAGGTTACAGTTCTGAACCAGTCGGACCAGGGTTTCCAAGCTTTGTCAAATTTAGTGATTCTATCGTTTAGGTAAAGACTTCATAGATGAAGTGGGTCTGGACTAGCTCAATGACTTCTTTTAGAGAAGGGGCTGTCTTTTTTCCAGTGTCTAGTAATGGTAAGTCTTGATGCTAGAAGAATATGTGTCACCAAGAGTCGATAATGGATTGGATATGTGTCTTTATTTATATTCAAAATGGCTAGGGTAGGATCTGGTTGTTTTAATATCCCAGTAATAGCACTTCTGGTTTTGATCTCACGTAAACAAGCCGTTGCCAGTTTGAACAAGTACTTGATCAAACCGATCTTGGTTTGATCAGATGCTATAAAGGCCAGAGCAAAGATATGAGGTCTAATAGATCCCAGATCTCTCCATAAAGAGGACCTGTCATGGCCCATGCTATCATACCAGATATTGTTCATCCCTTATGAAAGCAATAAAAAGAGATTAAAAAAAAATTAAAGACAGTGTAAATTTAAAAAAAAAATAATTATAAAATAAAAATAAACAATTTTAAAGCACTGTCACATTCCCCCGTGCTCACATGCAAACGCGAACGCATATGTTGGCGAAGCACATATATGTTAACAGGGATTGTACCACACATGTGAGGTATCACTGCGAATGTCAGAGTGAGGGAAATAATTTTTAGCACCAAACATCCTCTGTAACTCTAAACTGCTAACCTGTAAAAGCTTTTGAAGTGTTGCCTATGGAGATTTTTAGGTACTGTAGTTTGGCGCCATTCCACGGGTGGATGCAAATTTAAAGAAAGCCATGTTTGGTATCTATTTACTCTGAGTAACGTCCTCTTTTATATTCTACAAAACAATTGCGATTGCAGGACTTCTCTAGGATTTCCCCCATCCTCTGGAACTCCCTCCCCCAATCCAACAGACTGTCACCTACCCTCCTCACCTTCAGGTGCACCCTGAAAACCCTCCTCTTCAGAGAAGCCTACCCCAACCTCACCTAACACCTGACCTCACCTAACAACTAACCTCCTCCACTCCTCCCACCACTCCATCCCCCACAGCCATTTCCTCCTGTACCACCTTCCCCTCCCTCCTAGATTGTAAGCTCGAAAGAGCAGGGCCCTTGAACCCCTCATGTTTTGTTTGTTACTGTCTTGTCTCATGTTCTGTCCCCCCTGCTACTGTACAGCGCTGAGCATACCCTTTGGCGCTATATAAATACTGTATAATAATAATAATATTGTGTTTTTGTGCATTAAAATTCATTAAAGTGTATTTTTTCCCCAACAATTTGTGTTTGAAAAACCGCTGCGCAAATATTGTGTGACATAAAAATATGCAACACCCACCATTTTATTCCCTAGGCCCTCTGCTTATCTATATATATATATATATATATATATATATATATATATATAGTATATATGTATGAGAAGAATGTCAGCATTGGCCCAGACTGGAACTGGTTAAGTGCTCTCCTGAACAACACGTAGCTACCATTGAAGCACAAAGTCAAAGAGGCTGGAGGACATCACTAGCACTGAGATGTAAAGCAGGATAAAGGAAATACAGGGGTAAAAATATTTTTAAAAGAAAAAAACATGACAATTGTTCGGAATACACAGTGCTTTAGCAAACTAAATGTCTTGTTTTAAGCTTTTCAACTACTTTTATATTCCAAGGAAAAAAAAAACACTGTTGTTCCAAAAACATTTCTCAATTCTATTCAAAAATGTATCTCTATACTGTTTTTGTAGCTTCTTTATAGATACTGTATATACAATAACTTGCAAATAGGTTAAGAGAAGATCTCTCTTTCCTCAGGTCAGTGCAAATTCTTTATACTAATGGGGGATTTTTTTTCCCCAACACATGAGATATTTAAAAACATTTTATGTTTTGAAGAGTATATATACGTTATTCATAGAACAGTTTTGCAATAGAAATATATTTATTTTACATTTTAACAGGTAGAGGGAAGTTTGAGGAGGGTTAAGTCAATCCTTTGACTCATTGGAGTTGATTTACAAAAGCCATATAGACTGTTCACTTTGTAGGGGAAATTGCACATTGCAAGGAAATTTTCCCCAGAGCTTAGTAAATGAAGTGAAGCTCTGCTGACATCCATCATCCAATAATGTAAAAACCAACATTGATTTTTGGTTTATTTTCCTTGCACGTGATTGGGTATTCTTTTCAAAGTGAAACAATCACTAAGCTCTGGGGAAAATTCCTTAGCGAAGTGCAACTCATTTCCGTTGTGTTTAAATTGGAGTTTGTTCTATTAAGCTCTGTAAACAGCTAACTTTTTTCATGAAAGCAGGTAATGATAGACTGAATTTGAAAAAAAGCCTAGAGTTTGACCAGCTTTCTGAATGTAAGAATACAAAATATACTGTACATGTGCAATATTTATTATTTAAATAAAAAACTAACCAAAGCCAAAACACTTTTTTTAATTTGGATAAAATTGGAAATTAAACTACCTGTGAGTTTTATTCTGGTCCCTATGTGGATATTGTTTTTCTCTTCCAGTCTCTGAACAGGCAATAAGAAGAAATCTTTCAACAGTGAAAGAAATTTCCTTAGTCGTTACTTGAACAGGTGATCCCACTGGATTTTTTTGCCCTCTATTCCTGTTCTGGTCACAACTGTAAAATATTGGATTTCCCATCCCTTGCAGTCTTAATGGCATTGGTAACTAGGAAAAACAGAAAGACTGAATCTCCCCAAGAGGGAACCCAGCAAAATGTGGACTTCATTTATTTAACCACTAGCCTACAGGGCACTTATACCCCCTTCCTGCCCAGGCCAATTTCCAGCTTTCAGTGCTGTTGCACTTTGAATGACAATTGCGCGGTCATGCAACACTGTACCCATATGAAATGTTTAGCATTTTTTTTGTAACAGATAGAGATTTATTTTGGTGGTATTTAATCACCTCTGGGGTTTTTATTTTTTCTTAAACAAACCAAAAACCACTGAAAACTTTGAAAAAAAAACATTTTTCTTAGTTTTTGTTATAAAATGTTGTAAATAAGAGATTTTTCTCCTTCACTGATGTGCGCTAATGAGGCTGCAGTGATGGGCACTGATAGGCTGCACTGATGGACACTGATAGGTGGCACTGATGGGCACTGATGAGGAGGCACTGGTAGGTGGCACTGATGGGCATTGACAGGCATCACTGATGGGCACTGAAAGGCAGCACTCATATATGGCACTGATAGGTGGCACTGTCTGGCACTGATAGGCAGCACTGACTGGCACTGTTAGGTGGAACTGACTGGCACTGTTAGGCGGCACTGATAGGCAGCATTGACAGACACTGATAGGCGGTGCTGATGCACACTGATAGGCAGCACTGACGGGCACTGATAGGCGGCACTGACTGGCACTGATAGATGGCACTGATTGGCAGCACTGATAGGTGGCACTGACTGGCATTGATAGGTGGCACTTACTGGCACTGATGGGTGACACTGAAAGGCACCTCAGATGGGCACTGATATGTGGCATTGATGTGGCACTGATGGGCACTGAAATGTGGCACTGATGTGGCACTGATGGGCACTGGCAGGTGGCATGGATGAGCACTGAGAGCTGGCACTGATGGACACTGACAGGTGGCGTTGCTGGGGCTACACAGATCATCAGAGCTCTGATGATCTGTGTACATGATCTGTGTACATGTCCCCTCCGAGGAATGCCGATTACCGGCTCTCCTCATGAGCTGTCAGCTGTCACGAGCGTGACAGCTCGTGGGGAGAGAAATACCGTTAACTGGCATTTCCCTGTTTACATGTGATCAGCTGTGATTGGACACAGCTGATCACATGACCGAGCCGACATCTTCGGCTCTTTCCATGGATCGGTGATCCGCTGTATCCGAGGGACACAGTGCACCGCCAATCGCTGCGCTCCGGGGGCCGTGCATGCGCGGTTAGAATGGGAGGACATCATATGACGTCCTCCCAGAACGAGAGAACCACCTTGCATCTCTCATATTACTATATGGCGGGCGGGAGGCGGTTAACTAGCAGTCACTGCTGGGAACAAAGATATTTGTCTCCTTTAGTAATATGTAAGGCTTTAAATTGCATCCTTGATGTAAGTACCCTCACTGAAGGGGAGGTATAAAGAGACATGATTGCAGATTGCAACTATCCGGTTCTGCCAATTTTTTGCAGGACTGCATCTCTAATGGACTCTTTCAAACACCTTCTCTCTGTCTAATAGAAGATGTAGCGTGGAATTTTTTTGGAGTTCTCCACTTTTAATAAGGTTGATCAGAAATGTGGAACCCACCTGCCTGTAATAACTCCTACTTGATTAGACTATATCAAGAGTGGTAATATATGTAATAACCTGTGGGTTAGCATCTTATTTTTCCCTTTATCACAGGGCTAGATGACATCCACAAAAACTCAATTTTATACAGTTTTAGCAGTGAGGCATTTAGATGTGACGACAATTTTTTACTGTACATAGGCACATGCTTATGGACTTTTAGCTCTGGGAAAGAAAGAAGAATTTTCAATCATGCAGCTCATAGACTGCCAAAAACACATGGACAGTATAGCAAATAAAATGATTGCTTTTTTGGTAAAATCTTCTGGCTCCCTCCTTATCCTATCAAAATGAGCAGTGTAACAGAAGGAAAAAGGCTCAATAATGTCCGCTTGTTAAGGATCCCATGATTTCCGTTTGCTCAATATCAATGCACAAATGTAACAGTTACAAAAATGTTTGACAAAAATAAGAATTTAGAAAAGAAATTCCATATAACAGTCTATATTATCATGCTGCACACACCCTGTGGTAAATCACACTAACAAAATTGTGATGTGCTCAATCAAACCCAAGTGCTGACAATATTATATACCCACAGAAAAACTGTATATATTCAATATGTCAATGTGATAAATAAACCAGAAAAAAATGAAAATAAAGAAATAAATACATGTAGCACCCTCCTAGCTAGGTTCTAGGATTTGTATAGTTAGGATAAGTGTTGCTGTGTTTCTCTGCTTAATAGAGAGACTGATATATAGAGACTAATAGAGAGAAATCTAATTGGGCTCTCTGCTTAACAGAGTGCTGTGGTGGATTAGTCAGGTCTGCTCATGATGCTGTGGTGCTGCTGATTCAGGAAGCTATGAGAGCCTTCCAGAACCTGGAAGAAAACTAGGCAAATGAGCAACATGAATATGGATACAGCTCTGGCCAATTGCAGGGGAGCATTACATGCTGGGAGTAGTTTTTATGCTCTGTGAGCACATGGGTTCAGCTTCTTTCCCTGGAGAGGATGGCACCAAGCATGGCTGGAGGCAGGCTTGCTTCGCCTGGCACAAGCTGCCATGTGGGCCTCAGATGGAGGGCCTGAAGTTAGGAAGAGTGATCCTGGTTCTACAGTAAGCTGACTGAGAGGAGCTGTCAGCTAAAGATCTGTTTGTTATCACTGGATGAAGAGTCACTTGGAAGATTGGAAGGATGCAACCATTCTGTCCTGGGACTTGTGAGTACAAACACTAAGATATCTTGGGGACTCTGTGTGCTAGTCAGCGTAAGTCTGAGAAAAGGGAACACTGGCTAGTGTTCTGAAGAACTTGTCCAGATGTTGCTACTGCAAAGGACTAAGTTTCTATTACTTCTGAACTGCCACAGTCTGCCGTAACAGGCCTGTACCTGAGGAGCTCAGCCCTGCAACTACTACTACCGCTAAAGGGACTTTGCTCACTCCTAAAATACTTGTTGCTACAATCTACAATGAAGTTTGCTATCTGTTTTCAGCCAGGACTCCAAAATGTTCATCTAAGAGGTCAGCTAGATGTCCTCAGTGGGAATAGTTGTAAATTTGGAGTATCCTACTCAATTCCAATCCCTATCCCCAGTTCTACAATAAAACTCCACAAACAAACATCCCCTAGACTGGTCATTGAAGACAACGAAGGAAAGAGTGTGTGTACCTGGCTGTGGAAAATACTTTGTGCCTGGCTATGGGGTGAAGCAAGGGGAGACCTGGAAAAAATACAAGTGGCTCTTCCGGGGGGTAGCGCTACATACCTAAACATCAACCTATATGGAGAGATATTGCGCAGAAGCAGGGGCGGACTGACAAGGGATCATGGGGCCCCTGTGTCGTTGCCCAGACACAAAAAAGCCTATGAAAAAGGTACCAGGGGCATCTCATGGGGCCCCCTACTGACCCCGGGCCCTCGGGCAGTGCCCGAGTTTCCAAGTAGTCAGTTCACCCCTGCGCAGAAGTATATGTGACCAACAGATTGGAAAGATATGGCTTGGGGGGTCCAGGTGGGGTGGTAGAGTGATTCCAAAACTTTTAGTTTTTTTTCAGCAAAGAACTCCTTGAAGACTACAACACCTCACAAGACAGCTGTCTACCAGTGCTCTCCAGGGCTCCTATTCACAACCAGGGGCGGACTGACCATTTGGAAACTCGGGCACTGCCCGAGGGCCTGGGGTCAGTAGGGGCCCCATGAGATGCCCCTGGTACCTTTTTCCATAGGCTTTTTTGAGTTTGGGCAAGGACACAGGGGCCCCATGATCCCCTATTGCCCGGGGGCCCTATGAGTTGTCAGTCCACCCCTGTTCACAACCATAGGCTCTAGTGACAGGCGAACCCCACTTGGCTCTCCTGCATCTGGACAACTGATGGACGATTGGACCCGTGCGAGTTGGAAGATCAACATGTTGCAACGCTCTTAACCCTTTACCTATGTGAATTGCTATTAACAAAGTGTGATTTTTCATTTACCTATTGCTACACTTAGTCTGCTGTCCCTGGTGGTGTTCCCTTTGCATTACAGCTACAGGTGTTGTAATCCCAAAGTACAGCTCCAACAAGTCTATCATTCCCCAATAGTACAATGGTTGTTTATCAAAAGAGATGGTTTACATTGCTATTGAGAAAGAAAAAGTAAATACAAGTACTTGCTGGATTCATAGCATACAATTCTACTACCTTTTTATTCATGCATTTTATTTTGCATTATTTTAAAAAAAGGTATTCAGTAGGCTTGAAACAGATACATATGCAAATAAACACAGGAAAAGCTTTTGTTTTCTCAGCACAATTCGAAAGCAGGCTATTTGTATATTCAGAAAAGCAAACAGTACATGAATTAATTTCAGTATGACAGGAAGCAAATGTTTAAAGAAGCCAGGAACCTATAAACTCAACTTCAATTTCAGTCAAAAAAAAACTACAGGGAGAGGAAAAATGAAGTACAGCCACAAGCTGCCAAAGTCTTCCAGAGGTAACCAAGTAGTGAAGTTAAAAAAAAGCCCACAATAAACAATCATAGAAAGCTGAATCTGAAAACAGGAGTGGAGACAAATGGATACTGACAAAGGAAGAAGATGTAAAAGCGTGTAACATATGAAGAGACACATCCAATCCAGGAATCGCGTGACGCTTTGGCTCTGAGGAAGGGGATGTGCCCTGACTGCGTCAGCTGGCCAGTATAGCGATCGGGTCTTGCGATTCCTGGACTGGATATATCTCTTCATGTGTTGCAAGCTTTTACATCTGTTCCCTTTGTGAGTTTCCATTTGTCTACACTTCTGTTTTCCAAGAAATCTCTGGTAATGCACCAAGTGTTTGCACCTTCCTGTATGTTCTTTTGTAGCTTCTACAGCCACTTGCCCTCCAGAGGTTTTACCCCTGTTCATGACCAGGCCATTTTTTGCATTACAGCTCTGCATTACTTTAACTGAAGTTTATGTCCTTTTTTTCCACAAATTGAGGTAGGGTGAGCCCCGCGTGCTCACCCTACCTGTGAATGCAAAAACATGTATATATATGTAATTTTGCACACCCATGCCGCCCTGTAGCAGTATATCTACTATAGGGCGGTCGGGAAGAGGATAGGATTCCCCGATCTGAGGAGGGCTTCATCGGTTGAGCATTATTGATAGATGGTATTCTGGCTACCCATGGTGTACTGAACACTTTGCCTGTGGCAGAATTCTGAGTGCTGGAAGTGATTGTATGATTCAAACCATATCTAAACATTAAAGGAACACCAGAAACAGACTCTAGCTGCAGATCAGTCTCTGTTACTGTCTCCCCAGGACTGCCTAACTCGCAGCAGATTTGCCCGGAAAAACAGTAAAGCTCTGCTCTCCTAACAGCAAAGTCCAGAAGTCATAAATCTCCATTGACAAATATGGTACAGCACCTCCTTTTAAGAACTACAATTCCCAGTGTCCTTCACACCTGCACAGTGAGTCCTTTCTCACTTGCCCATTGGCTGTCTCTCTCCTGCCCTCTAATTGGATCCAATCTGCTATTCAAGGAGGGAGGAAGAAGAGAAGAGCAAGCATTGAAATTACAAAACCCGCTCTCACTATTTCAGGTGGGCAAGCAGGGATTGAACCTGCACACACACAGGCTTCAGCTTCAGCGCTGAACAGCTGCTTTTGTCAACAGTGGTGAAAAGATCACATAGCCGACACATGCACAACCCACAATGAAAGAGGGGAGCAGGGAAGTCAGAGCACGTCCGAATTCACACTACATTGCCACATAAATACATTTTGTATAATCACATAGCCTTTCTCTTGATGATGTGTTCTGATTTCAGTCAGTATAGAACTACTGTGTGCAGGGTGAGTGTAAATAATAAAAAAAAAACAAAAAAAGAAAAACAACATAATTTTAAAATCAACAAAACATGAAATTGCTAAATTATCTTTAACCACTTGCCCTCTAGAGGATTTACCCCCCTTCCTGACCAGGCCATTTTTTGCTGTTTTGGCACTGCACTATTTTTAACTAGTAAATGTGTGGTCGTGCAATGTTGTAC